GTCTAGAAAAGTTCTTTTGGAACTTGGTTAACTTTTGGACATTGAGCCAGATGAGAATATAGAATAGTAATCTTTGTTTAAAATTTTTGCTGCAAATGCTGTTTTTGTTGCAAAGAAGCGTTAAAGGGGACTGATTGAAGAAGTTGTAAAAGGGCTGGTGCTTAAAACTTCGAGTCAAGATGCGACAGTATAACACCAAATATGTGACCAATAAATTATGAACAACCTCTTGATGTAGCGTATAACGTTTCAGGCTATTTGCTGCATCTCTTGTATATTCTATACATAATTCTTGATATTGTGCAAATATTTGCAGTGGACAAAGTGGAAACGTTGAAACGATACAAATTCAGCCTGGCATTTGAGAATTCCAACGAGGAGGATTATGTCACTGAAAAATTCTTCCAGTCTCTTGTTGCTGGTATTATGCTTAACTGTTTCTCATTTCTTGCTTTGTTGATAATTTGTAATTCAAGACCAAGTCTTCAGAGCTATTTTTCTCCTCTCCCGGGTTATAGAGTTCAATGCTGATTTTCATGACATTTATACTTGTCCTTTTTAAATTAAGAATTGGGTCAACATAGGGAAATTTTCTGCAGAAGCTATGAATGGAGACTTCAATTCTCAAACCATTTGGAACAGACTGTCGTTTGGTAAATTGATTCTGGGGGAATATTCTTCTTCTTCTCTTTTTATGTGGTTACTGTTTTGGGACACATTTTTGGACATATGAATGTATACAAATAAAATTTCAAGATGGGTTACTGGGAAAATTTCTCAATTATAAGAGTAGTAGAGCAAATAGACAATTTATGATGATGGAATTCTGATATGGCGCACTGTATTAATATTCTAGGCTCTGTTCCTGTGGTTGTTGGTGCCCCTAACATACAAGATTTTTCTCCCTCTCCTGGCTCAATATTGCATATGAGGGAGCTCAAAGATGCTGATTCAATTGTGATGAAAATAAAATACCTTGCCAGGAATTCCAGTGCATATAACGAGTCATTACGGTGAGCCTTAAATTCCAGCGCATGAAATGATAGACTTCTTTGTAGCGAGTTATGTGGATTCTAAATATGTGATTCTTTATTCTTTTCTTTTAGTGACATTTTCAAGTTTTTTGCCTATCTTTGTAAATCATGATCTATCAATATATAGATATTTTCCTCGGGACTAATTTAAGAAGCTTTTGACTTTCGAAGAGACTGGATCACAAATGGGTTCTTATTGTTTAGGTGGAAGTTTGAAGGACCGTCCGATTCATTCAAGGCTCTTGTTGATATGGCAGCAGTTCACTCATCATGCCGTCTGTGTATTTACTTGGCAACAAGGATCCTAGAGAAAGATGAGAAGACTCCCGAGTTTAAAAAGCGACCCTGCAAGTGTACCAGAGGTTTAAAAACTGTGTATCACATATATGCACGGGAAAGGGGAAGGTTTGAGATGGAATCAGTTTTTTTAAGGTAATACATGTACTGCCTACATTTCCGGTGTATATATTCATAAATGTGCAATTTTGGCTGAGTTTTCACGTGAATTTCAATGACGTGGGCATGAAAATCTTCTTCAGAGCCAATAGAGTTTTATCTTTTGGCTATTGTTTATGCCAATAAAATCATATTGATTATCGTCATGTGGGGATTTTATTCAGCGCAAAAGTATTTAATCTCATGTTTTATTAGTCTTATAGATATACATCAGCTCGTATGGCATAGCAGCGAGAATTTTCTTAGACCTTGTCAACATTTTTATTATTTCTAAACTTATCAGTTGAAATAGAAATTGAATTTAAAAATTGCTATGCAAAAAATTTTGAACAAAATTGAACTTGATTTGTGCAATACTTATAATTTAGCGTTTTAGTGGAATTTGATGAATCTTACAACTCAGATTCGTATCATGATGATCAATGTTGTTTCGTTTGAGGTTGTCATTCTTAATCCCCTTCTCCGGGTAGTTTTGACAAAAAATAGGAGGGGGTGGATCTTCGTTTGTATTCAACATAGGATGGTAAAAATTGGGAACAGAAATAACTTCTAAATTTGAGTTTTTGTAAGCTACTTTCTGATGCCAACATTTTTGCATTTATTTACTTTGCAAGTGAAAAAGTTTACTTATCTTGAAAGAAGTCTTACATCTGTCAATTTAAGTAATAACCTACTTATTTTCAACCTTGAACTATAAGAAAGTGATTTATTTTAAAACTTATTTACTTGTAAGTGAATTTTTTACGCTTAGCCAAACATGCTCTAATGCGACGTATCCGGTGCATTGCAAGTGAATCATGAAATTGTTTTATCTACATTCATGTTTCGAGATCTTCACTAATCAGAAATTTTCGTTTCTGATATTTCCTGGCAGGTCAGAAAACTTGACAATGGAGGCTTTAAATTCTGCAGTTCTTTTGAAGTTCAAGTCTCTGAAACACAAACCTATTTGGAAATCCGAGAGGCCCGAAAGCATACGAGGAGGAGATGAGCTCAAAATTTACAGAATCTACCCCGTTGGATTGACACAGAGGCAAGCCTTGTATACATTCAGATTCAAAGGGGATTCTGATTTCAGAAATCACATTGAGAGCAACCCATGTGCCAAGTTTGAAGTTATTTTCGTATAGGCTACATTCCACGTACAATCGGCTGCCGGGCAATCATATCTTTTGCAGTAGAATTTTCTGATAGGATCTAAGTCGGGTGCATTAGTAGTCTCGTCCCCTCACTTTTGAAGAAGGGATCCCTGTTGCTCGTCTTTTCTCATATTTTCTTCACTCTGTTGTATCCACCATCTTCGCTTGATTATTATAGAGGTGAAACGAAATACTGTCAATCTCACTTGTATCAGGTAACCTTTCTGATAAGTAGATAGTCTTTAGAAATATGTGATGGACTGGCCTAGCATAGCATAGCAGACACTTCATTGTTGCAGCTAAGCCCGTAAGAGTTGAAAGTTTATTTTTCCAGTCCAATTAATAATTTGAAACCTTTTTTTCTTAATATTTCCAGATTACGAGGATTCATGTATGATTCTGAGATTCTAAGGAGTAGTTTCTTTTTAATATGATTCAGGATTGGTATACATTTTGTCCCTGTTTCTTGAAACAACGTGTCGTTATTTTCGATTAAATCTTCTTTTTCCTAGTATTCTCTCGCTTTATCTCTTCATCTTGGGGGCACTTTTTTTCTGTATATTTCTAACTTCCACTTGAATAAATGAATCATGATGTACTATGTTCAATGTAATTTATAAATGTGTAATTGAGTACTCATTCAGTATTTTGACAAACTAAACGCTCTTGAACTCGAATTTTTGTAGCAAATAGGTTGCTAGAATAGGTTGCAAAGTTTGCGAAAATATGTCGTATTTTCATGTCTTGATCACGAAATGCATACCTCGAGCAATTGTTCATTTTTGCCTACGCATTAAACCGCATATGATTTCAAGAGTAATGCTATACGTACAAATTGATGATGATCTCCATGTTAATGATAATGTTAATAAATCATACATTTAATTGACTTTTATCATTTTACCACGCATCATCGTCACGTCACATGAGCTTCATGAACGACTAATTGAATCTGTTTAGATGACAATATATTTCTCGATTCATTATCTATTTGTGTTTTTTAATGAATTGAATAATGAATTAAGATATTCATTATCACCAAGACAACCTATTAATAATAAAAAATATTATTCTGAAATTTTGAAGAAGCATAGTTGCATTACTTGTGCGCCACATGTTTTAGAAATGAAAGTGGCGGCTCGACCTAAAAGTCGGTGGTCGAATTGCTGGCTCTTGGCTCTTCATGGAAGCCACACTCATAACACCCTTTCTTTGTTTCCTAATTGCAAGTATTTTTGTCCATATGCAAAAATATAGTGAGTATTTTTTTTCATATATTTTAATATTTTTTTTAGATATTTCACTTTGCTTTTCCAATAACATATATTGCTTTTTCTTAATTTTTATGATTTGAATAATTCGAGAACTAAAGTATTGAATTTATAACTCATTGAATGCAATTATTATACAGTAAGAAGTCGATTTGACTATTCAAATTTCGAGAATCGAACTCTTTTTCTATTTTAAAAAAGTTAAACTACAGAGTCTTTCTGAGTTTTATTTTTATACATTGACTACACATCTAAATGGAAAGCATATCATATTTAGAGAGAGTCTTGGAGATGATATAGATAATCCCACACTCGAGGCAATTGAAAGAACACATATTTCATTTCGTGCACTTGATTAGAATATTAGATGATATGAGAAATTTAGTTATTGTTTGGGTTAATTTAAAAATCAGAGTCAAAATCAACAATGATATGTACCACAACTTTTCAATCACATTTTATCAATTTGTATCAAAATAAATTAATTTTAAAAATATAATTTAACCTTTTAATAATAAAAATCGCCATTTATCTTATCTAGCATAAAACATCTACGTCATTTACATTATATTATATGATCGATAGCGTAAATAATATTTTTTATTAAAAGATCAAAAATTATCTTCCACCCCAATTCACTCAACCATCTACTCACTAATATACATTCTAATTTTTATACTAAATTCTTTATACGTAATTCATTTTTTTTTCCTTGTTAAGTTTTTTATTTATAAAATTAATCTATCTATTTCTTAATTCCAAAAGACATCCCCGCAATAGCCTCACCCTCACATGACACATGCCACAACTTTCCAGACATTAAAAATAAACTGCAGTGAGGACATTTTGGTAAAATCATATCTATAATGTGGACATTTTGGTAAAATCATATTAACGGTCGCCTTTACCTGCCCAGCAAAAATGAAACGACCTTTAGCATCATTCAAGAGTCAAATTGTTTAGCTCATCCCACCTTCATAAGGTCCATCCCCATCCCTACATAATGTTCTCATCACACTTTCTCCTCCCTCCATCGCCACCACAACCACCACCACCCCCACTACTGATACATTTTCTTTCACCCTTCTGAATTGTTCACCATGTCATCAGTTTCACTCAAATTCTTGGCGCCTTCATTGCCAAATTCCAATAGGTTCAGGCTCACAAGGCTCCATGCAACTCCACCTCAGACTGTGGTGCCACCGGCATCCGGGGCTGTGGGGATCGAAGTGGAAAGGCTAGAACCTAGAGTGGAAGAAAAGGAAGGGTATTTTGTACTTAAGGAGAAGTTCAGACAAGGTATAAATCCTCAGGAGAAGGTTAAGATTGAGAAGGAGCCTATGAAATTGTTCATGGAAAATGGAATTGAAGAGCTTTCTAAGATGTCTCTCGAAGAAATCGAGAAGTCAAAACTCACTAAGGATGACATTGATATGAGGCTCAAGTGGATTGGCCTATTCCACAGGAGGAAACATCACTGTAAGATGCAGTCTAAACCTGTTTTTACCAAGATTTATTATATGCTTTGATTAACTTATCATATTTTTATGGTAACGGGGTCTTCAGCATATAGTAACGTTCAGTTAAATAAAAACAATTTGCTCATTTGGTAGGATGGAATGGATTCATTATACTGTTGAGTCACATTCAGTCCTGCATACCAGACGTAGACTAAAAAAAAATGGTTGGCACGTGTCCTAGTTAGACTTAAAAGAACGTTTTTCAACGAAGCGGGGTTCTCTCGTGATTGTTAAAGATGTAGTTGAATTGGATCTTCCCAAGCGTAGCGACCAATCAAATAGGAAGTCAATGAAAATATTTATGTAACAAACTCGAAATCTATTGAAAAGATGGCTTAGTTTGTTTGATTATAAATCAACCGAGCAGAGAAGAGCAGGCCTAATCGTAAATTATAGTGGAGGTTTATAAATGAAGGGCTACGATTATATTGAATAAGTGAAAAATCCAAGTTCTTATTCGAGTGATTGAGGCACCTTTCATAAACTGTGTGTTACTTATAATTATATTTCTCCTTATTTGTCTAATCTCATTGTAATCTGTGTGAATGGCGGTGATCAGATGGTCGGTTCATGATGAGATTGAAGCTACCAAATGGGGTTACAACAAGTGCTCAAACTCGATACTTGGCGAGTGTTATTAAGAAATATGGGAAGGATGGGTGCGCAGACGTCACTACGAGGCAAAATTGGCAAATTCGTGGAGTTGTACTGCCTGATGTACCAGAGATTCTGAAGGGACTTGAAGAAGTTGGCTTGACTAGCCTGCAGAGTGGCATGGACAATGTGAGGAATCCAGTTGGGAACCCTATTGCTGGGATTGATCCAGAAGAAATTGTTGACACAAGACCTTATACTAATTTGCTCTCACAATATATCACAGCCAATTCACGAGGCAATCCTGCTTTTACTAACTTGTAAGTTCGTACATTCCTTCTCTAGTCCACCCACCCTCACCCTCACTCTCACCCTCAAACCAAATGAATATGGGGAAAAGGATTCATTATGTATTCTAGAATAAGGCTTATCTACTGTTTTTGTCATCGTATGTCGTGTGAGGAATGTCTGCGCTAAATTTAATTTTGGACCTTCTTTGAAATGTTGGATCCTCTGTATTTATGTGCAGGCCAAGGAAGTGGAATGTGTGTGTAATTGGCTCACACGATCTTTACGAGCATCCTCACATAAATGATCTTGCATTCATGCCTGCCACGAAGAATCGTCGCTTTGGATTTAATTTGCTCGTGGGTGGTTTCTTCAGCCCAAAACGATGCGCTGAGGCGATCCCACTCGATGCATGGGTTCCGGGTGATGATATACTCCCAGTTTGCAAAGCTATACTGGAAGCTTTTAGAGATCTTGGTACAAGAGGGAACAGGCAAAAATGCAGAATGATGTGGTTGATTGATGAACTTGTAAGTAGTATTTTCTCCAGACTTTTTAACTGATTATCTACCTAAAATTTTGAGTAATTATCAATAGATTCTTTCCATTTTAACTCTATGTAACTATCTAAATAGGGTTGTTCTCCATCTAATTCACAGGTTTTCAGCGTGTCTCAATTGTATTTTAGTTTATAGTTTCTGTACTTTCGACTAACGAGTCGAAATACGGAAATCTTTAATGATTTTCCTTTCTGGCAAGGCAGGGAATAGAAGGATTCAGGGCAGAGGTTGTGAAGAGAATGCCTCAACAACAGCTGGAAAGAGAATCATCTGAAGACCTGGTACGGAAACAATGGGAGAGGAGAGACTACCTAGGAATACATCCTCAAAAACAGGAAGGCTATAGCTTTGTTGGTCTACATGTCCCTGTGGGACGTGTCCAAGCAGACGAAATGGACGAGCTTGCTCGTTTAGCTGATGAATATGGCTCGGGTGAACTCCGGCTAACAGTCGAACAGAACATTATAATCCCAAATATCGAGAACTCGAAGATTGAAGCATTGCTTAAAGAACCACTTTTAGAGAGATTCTCCCCAGAGCCACCTCTTCTCATGAAAGGCTTAGTAGCTTGTACAGGCAACCAGTTCTGTGGACAAGCCATAATCGAGACAAAGGCGCGCTCTCTTAAGGTAACCGAGGAGGTCAACCGACAGGTGTCCGTTCCTCGACCGGTAAGAATGCATTGGACTGGATGTCCTAATACCTGTGGACAAGTACAAGTTGCTGATATTGGATTTATGGGGTGCATGACTAGGAAAGATGGTAAAGTTGTTGAAGGAGCAGATGTGTTTTTGGGTGGAAGAATTGGAAGTGACTCACATTTGGGAGAGATTTATAAGAAGGGTGTCCCTTGTGATGACTTGGTTCCTTTGGTTGTGGACCTTTTGATAGACCAGTTCGGGGCGGTTCGACGGGAAACCGAAGAAGCTGAAGATTAGTTCAGATGCAATTGTTTATGAGCATGAACTACAAGAAAGATTGGAGATTTTTGTAGTTGTAACATGTTCGAATTTGTATACATAAAGGAAACCTCTTTTTCTTACATTGTAAAGAGGCAAAACTTCATTGGTACACCGAAATGGCACTGCAACTAGGTGCATCTGTTTTGGTCTATTATATTTGTACTTATTTCTGAAAGTTCTTAGTTCTATTATGATTGGTCTGCTTATATCCTAGATCTCTCTTGTTCCCAGGAGGCTTGTTCAACTCCAAAAGACTATCTAGTATCTGAAATCCACTTAAGAAGGAATGGAGTTGAGAATTGAATTTCTCAAGGTCGTATGTCAGGGCTTTAACCTTGGCCTCTAAGTTTTTATTGACTAATCTTAACTAACTAAGACTTTTGGTTGACTTCTGAACATCATACATAAGTCTCTCTCTTTCTAGTTCAAGTGCATTAACCTTCTTAAGCATGACTTTATTCACATTCTTAATTTTAAGACTCTCTTCAAAGAATTGTTGATAAGTCTCATGAATCTCTTCCTCATCTTCCTGAGAGTGCTCACCACTATCTACTTCCTCAACCTTCTCTCCGTCTTTATCAGATTCACTCATAATCCTAGTAGTGAAGACCATAAACTTCCCACTCTCCTCATGAGTGGACCTCTTCTTTGATTATCCGAGCTAGACTCGTTATTAGTGAGAGTTGCATTCATAACTTTACCTTGATTTCTCTTACCATTAGGGCACTCACTTCTATAATGGTCAAAACCTTGACACTTTGACATCTTACAGTATTAGATTTCTTTCTAGACCCACTTGGGTCTCCTTTATGTCTATTTTTAGACTTCTTCTTATTTCTAAACATTTTTTAAAAATTCTTAACAAAGTAGGCTATTTTCTCATCATTAACTGTTATCCCTAACAGTGTTCAATGCCAAAGACTTATCTTTGTTGGGTTTAATTAATGTTAGTTCATAAGTTTGGAGAGATCCAACCAATTCTTCAATCTTAATAGTATCTATGTTCTCACTCTCCTTTATAGCTGTGATTTTAGGCCTAAATCTCTCAAGTAAAAATTTAAGGATTTTTCTAACAATCTTAGGCTTAGGAACTCTCTCATCTAGGTTGAAGCTATAGTTAACTATGTCATACAAGCTCACATAGAAGTCATCGAGATCTCATCATCATAATCTCATCAAATCTAGTGGTCAACATCTGTAACTTAACATTTTTAACAGCCTGAGTTCCCTCATGTGTGGTCTGTAAAATATCTCAAACCTCTTTAGCAACCTCATACAAAAACACACGCCTAAATTCTTCTACTGACACATCCATAAATAGAGCATATAGCTCTTTACTATTCCAATTACACTAATCTAAATCTAGTAGGGGTAATTATACCTACAACTGTGGTAGATGGGGTGGTCCAACCATTCACTACACTCGTTCAAATACCCTCATCCATCGATTTCAAGAAGTCTCTCATTCTAACTTTCCAATAGGCGTAGTTATTGCAATCAAAATATGGCGAGACAGACAATGAACTACTCATCTAGGAAATTAGGGTTAGAAATCGAATTAGTGATCTGATATCACTTGAAAGCTTTAAAGGCCTATTCTCTTTACTGTTTTCAAGCCGTTTTCTGTTTTCTATTTTTCAAAACACTGAAAACGCGTTCTCTTCCCTATTTTTGAAAACGCATTTTTGAAAACGAAAAAAAAAAAATTGTACACAAAACACCAAAATGACTTTTTTCACGTTTTGCACGTATTCAAGCAAAAAGGGGGAAATCTGAAAACACGGGAAATAGCTATTTTGGGAACAGTAACACCCCACTCCCAGCATTTTGATTTCTTCAATTTTCTTCCAATCCATCCCCTATCTTCCTTCTCTCTGGACGCCGGTTATATCTTGTCGATGCCCACGAAAGAGATGCACCAGTACCGGAGCTGACGTGGGCGAATGAGACTCTTCTGTGAATGCAGGTGTCGTGTCCCGGGCGTTGCGTCCCATTCTTTGCGACACTGCTCTGCCTCCTCTCTCTTCGACTCGCGACCCATTGGTGACGGCGTCGTTCCCGACAGGGCGAAGGTGAAGTTCTTTCTATTTTCGATCTGAAATTTTGGGGGTTTTTGGTTTTTTCGATTTCGATTGTGTTGATTGGTGGCGACCAATTGATTTCGACCCATTGATCTCAATTGTGTTGATTGGAAATTGCAGTGGTGGCGATGGTAGGCAGTGGCGGTGGTGACTAGTTGATTGCAGTAGTTGTTTGCAGTGTTGGTGATTGGTTGATTGCAGTGGTTGTGTCATTCTCAATCTTGTAATCGGAGCACATATTGATGGAGAAAGCCATCGAGGATGAGTACTGGAGCAGGAAAGGCAATGTCCGTAATAGGAGCTTCTGGATACACTGCTTCTGTTGGATAATTGCCTCAAATGTCAAAAGTTGGAGGACTCCTATTGCAAATAATAAAAGGTGTTTATTATATAGAAGACTTCTAATTTAAGTTGAGGGCAGAATCCTGTTAGAATTTGGTCTTCAAGTTATAGTCGATTTTGGAGTCATTCTTTGAGTTTGAATTAAACTCTTCTACTTGGTTATTTTGGTCCTATAAATAATGGAAGGATTCTATTATTTTGTACGTGACCTGAGAGAAAAAAAGGGGCTGCCGTGAGAGAGAACTGTTGCTGTTTCTCGCCTTTTTCTTGGATTATTTCTGCACGAAAAACAGGAACAAAACTGTGGTTGCTGGAAGTGATTTAGGAATTGAATTGTTGACTTGTCACAATTGTGGCTACCTTGTTTTTATTCTGGAGAGTGGTTGATATATATTATATATATTAAAGTGGCACAGCTTCTCTAGGAAACAAAGGCAGTTGGTTGGCAAGAGAAATCATATATATCCAGCACACGCAGAGGGAAGAAAAAGGAGATTTGGCAGTTGGCACGGCTGAAGTTTTTTTTCTGTTTATTTTGGGATTTGGTTTGGGTGAGTGAAATTCTATATGGTTGTAATAATTTTTCATATAGTGAAAAAGTTTTGACGGTCCGTTTAAATTTGTGCGTTATATTCTTTATTTTTCTTGTTTGCTAATATTCTTCTGAACAACAAAAGATCCTGCGGGTTAAGTAGAAAAGGGAAATTGGTGTGAAATTTCCCAACAGCTTCATGGCTGGTGAAGATTTTACTTGACCGAGGTTACAATCTTAAAGCCACAGTTTGCAGCCTCAGTCAGCCCCTCTCTCTCTAAAACCCACATTTCATACATTATGATAGACATTAGTATGGATTATTTGGAGCTTTGGTTTACAATTTGCATCCTATATATGAATAGATTCTGCATTTTGCATTCCTATATGAAATTCGTAGATTTATTGCTTCGAGAACCTTGTTTTGAAAGTTAGCATTTTCTAGATTTGTTGAGTTTTACTTGGTAAGATGGCTGTAGCCCAGGAGCCTAATTTGTATTCAAGTTGTTTAGAATTCTCGTGGTAAGTTTGGTATAGTTCTCTGGACATTGATCAATTGACAAACTGTATGCACGTCTATCTATTTTAATGACCTCGAATCTTGTCTATTATCCAGCATACTTTGGGGGCATTACAGATAGAATTATTCTACTTTGCCAGAGCATTTTTGACATTCTTCTTGACAGATGTGTAGGTAGATGGAAATGATTGGATGAAAATGATCATTGCATTTAAAATAGTCAAATGATATAATGTCATGTGGCATTATGTCAACATATCTATCAATGAGGTGGGCTATGTGGCATGACTATTACATACTAAACCTATCTTAAATATAAAGTGTAAAATCAATGTGACTCTAGGGTGCAAAGTGGCAATATCACCTAGATAAAAGATGAACAATGTTGCTGACATCACAGTGGCAATATCAGCTATATAAAAGATTAACAGAGTTGCTGACATTTGATGCATTTGTATTTTTAACAATTTTCTTGTGATTTTTTCCTTCCTATAGCTACAATGGTACTTTGGTTATTGGGAATCGTGATACCTTCCACGTTTGGATCAGTTCAAATGTGTGCTTATATGATGGAAAGTGTTTCACTTAAGTTTTTACTTCTCGATGACTCCAAGCACGTATCTAAATGTTGCAATGCATTATGTTGACCCCAAAAAATATTGCCAATAGATGTCGGGCCCACTCGTGTATACGTAAGCTTAATCCATCATGTTAATGCCGATCGACAGTCAAGATGGTTCCAAAATCTGAACGTGGGAGGAGCTCAACGACACGAGACGTCTCCGTTTGGGTCTCCGGTAAGATAAACAGAACACGATTGTATAAGAAGCCAATCGATAAAAAAAAGATTTGTAGTAGAAATATGCTGATAAAAGAGAGAATAATATTGCTCCAAGTATTTAGAATTTCATTAACCTTTTTGTGTTACATGGTGGAGTTATTTATAGTGTTACAAATGAAATAAGGACCCTTGGATCAATTTACACGTGACGCCATCTTCTCGGCCAAGACATCAAGTCGTAGTCATCAAGTTGACTCTCCTAGTCTTACAAGACATTAAATGCTTTTACATTGACAAGACAAGACACAAATAAACTTTACACAAAAATCACATCAATTATTCAAATTAAAGATCTTCATCATAAGCAAATCTCCACATGTGGGTCATTGCTAACTGCTGAAGAGCCTCGGATATGAGTGGAGGTGCCCTAGGCCTCAGATAGTGCATGGCCTCAGAACAAGGGCCTCGGTTAAGCTCCAAGGCTCGGTTGACACGTCAGAGGCCAGGAAAACACATCCTGATTCAATTGGGCTGGTCCTACCATTCAAATATGATGCCACGTGGTGATCCTATTTATAAGTCGTAACACATTAACCAATATCTCGTCTACAATGTTCCTCAGAATTAAGACCAAATTACCCAAGGCATTTAGCTCCTTCTATATATTGAATTTGGTAAATTTCAATTTTAAGTTTTAATTAGATATTTAGTTTTAATCATTTTAATGTGTATACCTTTTACATTTTGCTTGATCTGGCTTCTGGTTATCTGAAAACCTTCTGTTCACACATCTTTCTGCACATTTCAGGTAGAACTAATAGAACCAGCTGTGAAGGGAACCCTTAATGTTGATCCTAAATATGTATTTGACAGTAATCGTTTGGAATTGCGGTGGGAGATTTCTCTTGGAACTATGTACATTTTATTTTTATTGCATTTATCTTAATGTGATATCTTATTTCGTTCTGATGATAAACATGTACAAGAGAACTGTCTGCTCTACATGCATCATCTGAAGAAATCTCTAACTGGATAAACAGAATTAATCCTAGGAAAGCTGATGTCTCTGCAAATAATAGTGATGGTGAAAATCGATTGCTAAAATCTCAGGAAGCTACTAGTTCAGGCAGTAAAGCAAATGAGGTTTCTCTCCTTCAAAGTAATAGACCAATGTCAAGTTGTAGCCAGAAAGCCAAATACCCGTTCATTTGTGAATGCTTCTTTATGATTGCCAGTGTGCTTAACTTGGGATTACTAAAAGCATTTTCGGACTTCAAAAATCTTGTTCAGGTTGTGCACTTCTTAGTTTGGCAATGATGGATCAAATCTATTGTTATTATTGTTTCATTTCCTTTTAAATAGTGTTTTGTTGTTGGCTATTATTGTATCGATTCCCTATTAAACTGAACTTCTTATTATCAATTGTTAGGGCAAAAGATCAAATGAATCACTTGACATTAAACTTAACACCATTAGTTGTTGGAGAAGACCAATTTATGTGTGATGCTTATGAAATAATCATGATATGCATTGGAGTCATTTTATTAAAAAAATTTCGTTTGGACAGATGTTCTAATGTAGTTTTTTTTTTAATTTTTCCATTGTCATTTCTTTTACTATTACCTTTTAAATTAGTTGCGATTTATCTGATAGTTAATTAACTCAGTTGTATCTTTGTATGACTTTGGTATCTTTGTATCTTATGTTGTAATGTATTAATTAATGTTTTGCCAATTTTAGCTTAAGTTGCACATAAGAGTGAAAAATGGTTTCTTTATTTGAAATTAAATAGTTCGAAAAATTTGTTATCTTTGTATGAAGAATGTGACGAAGATAATATATGCATTTTTTTTTTGTTCTGGACACAGAAATAAGACAAAGCATTTGAATTAGACGAGAAAATTTTAGCAATGTTACCTCATTAATTTTTTCTTCAATCGATTAACATTAAACTATTAAAATTTATTGAATAATCAGATTTATTGAATAAAATATTATAAAAAAATATTCTAAAAATTTCAAAGTAAACGCGTTTTCAACAATTCCAAAACAGACACTCAAAATAGAAAACACAAAATGAATTCAAAACTCAAAACACAAAATTGAAAGACGAAGAGAATAACCCCTAAATTATTTAGAATATTTAGACCCAACGTATGAAATTACACAATTAAAAGTAACAAGTCACTTTTAATTGTTTCTAAGTGATTAGTAAATCAAGTTCAATTACCATATGGTTTAAATGTCACAATCAATAATTAAAGTAATAGAGAACGCCAAATTGATCACGGAGAACTCCAGACTGGGTAAAAATTTCGGGACCAAGCCATTAACTTCCAATATAGACAATAAGAACTTACAGTGTGATCCAGCCTAGAAACCTCTAGACTCGCTGATCTAATTTCTACAATTTTCAAGACTCGCTAGAACGTGTTTCACTCACACCCGTTCTAGATCTTCTAGAATTGTCTATATTTTGTGAATCACCAAGAACACCTTGTTCTTGTGCTCTTTATGTGCTTTTGGTTCAACCTCCCTCAATATTCAGCAACCTTTGAAAACTATTGAAAAGTACATTTTTATTATATCAGGAAGTAAGTGTTTTGGATTATTTGAACATGATGTTTTCCTAACTTGTGGTTGATTGATCTCACAAATCAAAGACTTAATCTCAATGTTTGAATACGTTCTTGGATCTTGGAATGATGTTATGAGGATGTGTTATAATAATCAACCACACCAAAAAACGTAATGGGCACTAGGTATTTATAATAAGAGGTATTTGGGTTATATATGATAGATCTTGAAAAATGCGAACTAAGGTTTCACGTATAACACCGTCGCTGAGCGCTATGCTAGCGATATGTGTGTCGCTCGAGAAAGAGTCGGACGACGATGATTATGTTTTTTCCGCTCGAGTATCAGTTGGCGACATGTTAACGTAAATTTGACGACTCTTTCTTCATGTTTTATATTCGAACACAAAGACTTCTAATTCATCCATACAACCCTCTAAAAGATTCCTTAACTAATAAAAATCATTTTGTCTAAAAAATGTGCAATACAACTTAAGTCCTAACAATTTCTAATAAGGTGTAACTTGTTGAACACGTATGCCATCTTCATATAATTATGATCATTTGAATTTGAAAGTTAAAAATTTCTATGTTAATATTATATTAAGGATTTAGTACTTTTATTAGACACAAGGCTCTCGTTAACAACATTAGCACCCAAAAAAATTGTTCAAAGCTCAAGACGGAATTTCTTTAACTAGCATGTATTTACTTGGCTCTGCTCATTTGTGTATTTATTAGTACGTGTATAATCAATCGGTGTAGTCAAAATCAGACGTGGTTCTACCAAAAATTGTACTTGAGTGGTTGAGGCCGGCTGAATGCGCGAGATGTAGAGAGAAAATACTAGTGTAAGACTACTAACTAAAAAGAATGCAAGATAATGTAACTTGAACAATTAAGCTCGACACCTATTTATAATAAATAGTTCATAACGTGTTTTGGTTTTGGTGATAATCTAATAGGTGGTGGCAGTTTGCGGTGGTAGTGGTTGGGTGGCGGTGATGGGTTTTCGGCAGATTAAGTTCTGGTTTGGGGTGGGTTGTGGAAGAAGATGAAGTTTTCTTTCATATTTTCTGTTTTTTATTTAATTACTTTAATAGTTTTACAGGAAAAAAATGTAAAATTATCATCTCGTTCTTTTAAAATTGGTTAAAATATGGCTAGATCGTTGACTTTTGGTCTTTGACTGCATACAAGTAGAAGGTTTGACACCGCAATTACAACAAATGAAAGATTAAGATAAAAGTTATAACAAATTGAAACATTTGGGACTTTCAATGTATCTTGTTATCGTAAAATAATTTGATTGTTTTAAACAATTTGTCATTCGTGACACTACTTGACATGTAATTCCATGATTAATATAAAAGTCAAATTGAGTTTTTCATAAATAAACGCTTTTAATTAACACAATTTTTATTTCTTGCACTGCATTTTACGTGCAATGAAGGTTCATTGATTATTGTACTTGCATCCCCATTTTTTTTTTTGGTCACATTTTCATTTTCAATTTTTCATTAATCAACACGTCTTGCCCTGATAACAATTTGTATCCAAAAATCCATCATATGACAATATTTGTACCTCATTCAAAGCATGTTAACAGAATATTTTGTTATAAATTAGGGGTGGACAAAATAACCAAACCAAGCCAAATCGAGCGGTTCGGTTCGGTTCGGTTCGGTTCGGTTCTACAAAAAAAATTTAATGGTTTTGGTTCTTAAAAACTGAGAACTATTTGATTCTGGTTCTGGTTCGGTTTAGTTTTAGAACCAAGAATCAAACTCAAGGAAATGAAATGAAACAAACACCTTATCATGTACTTCCAGAAAAGAGTTACAGAGATTTTCAACACACTGGAGGTGTTCGCTTTGGTAAGAAATCGATGTGGCCAATGTGTTACAAAGAGTACCAAGCTGCTGCACCAGTTCAGCCTGAAAAGTGTACACAGTTGACATGTTATCCGCATTCAGTTTGTCCCCTCTGGCTGCAAATTAATAATTAAAATCATTGTGCCCATCTACAAAACAAAATTGAGAAAAAAGGATTTATCATTGAAACTACATACCAACTTTCAGAAATAGTGAAGCATTATCCTTAAGGGATTTGTCCAGGTCAGCCCGTAACACTCATGCTTGATGAGCCAGTGCATTCTCTATTGTATATATATAGGAAGATGGTTTAGGCGCTAAAAAGAATGAAAAACTTCGACTCTTTACAAAACCACAAAATACCTGCTTTTTTCTGCTCAGATATGATAAATTCCCGTTCCTTGAGGGAATACTTGCATTGTCTCAATTCATTCTCCGTATTTGCCAACAATTCACTGGTTTGTTTCAAGTCTTTCTGCATACAACTCCAAATAAGAATCAAAAAATGAATTCAAGGCACGGCACGGCACGGCACGGCACTATGACAATAACTTACTTCGGTAGCATCAAGTCTGTTGCTCAAATCAGAGCACTGTTGAACCTGACCCTCATATTTAGCTTGCAATTCCTCCAGTTGCTTTAGACATTCAATCAAAACAATTTAGCGATAATCATACATAAATAATGTGTATGCTAGTTGTTTTAGACACAATCTTTTAGGCACATTTTAGATTCGAATGTTCTTGAATTTTTTCCCTGTTGTTTTAGACTGCATTAGAGTTCATAACAAAAAATGAGCATATGGCTCCTTGTGCCCCAGCAAAGTATCATATATTAGGCAAATTGTTGTCAAACGACCTCCCCGAACGATTATGTAAGTATTGTTTATTTCAGTCGGTATCGACCAAATGACTGAACGAGCATCGACACCACAATTTGGTAAACCAACCACATAATCACTTGGGCCTGAAGCAGCCTAATTAAATTAGTACTGCTCATGGCCCAACCCAAGACATGGATGACTCTTTCGGTTTGATAGCCCACTAACTTATTTCCTATTGGGCCCTAATCTTTGTGACCTAGCTCATACCTAATTCTACCCTATATCTACCGTGCCCATTACTGTGCTTTGGTGAGAATTATAAGTTAGCCTTTATTTGAGAAGAAAATAGCGGCGGTCTTTGGCTCTTGCTTCGTGCTTTCACTGTGCTATTACTTCTAACTTTCCTATAGCTTTAGTGGCTATTTTAGGTGGCTATTATAACCTTCATTCTCAGTTTTTTTTTTGTGGGCAGAAACTGAGAGCAATGGGTCGAGGGGCCTTGGATTGATTTGGGTTTAGGTTTTCATATTGTGGTGTCGATTGAGCATACTGAGCCCGGTATTCCTTGCTGTAGTAAGCGGTTTTGCTTTACATATGGTATGAGAGCCTGGTTTGGTGTAAATCCAGGCACCGTGTCTGCAATTGAGCTCGGACGGCCGTACCCCCTTGTCGAGTGCTGGATCTGCTATTGGGTCCACATGTTTGTTCAGAGGCATTGACTTGACATTGATGCAGAGTGTCGGTAGAATTAATGTCTATGACTAATGACCTTGTACGAAAGTTAAGCAGGGGTTTGCACCATTTTAGTAAGAATGTTCGACAAGAGTAGTTGAAATCTTTAGAATTTCTTGTTAATTTCAAGTGATTTCTCTTACTTTCTTTGTAGGTAGTTCAAACAAATTAGTAAGTATAGTAAAACTTAGGATACTATTTTTCCTATTGTACTTGGGGGGTTTTGACAAGTGAAACTGAAACAATTTTTAATATTTTGGAAGCTTTGACATTCTGTAAATTTCTCTTCATCTTTTTATATTTTTCTGTCTCATTATTTTTCTTTGAACAAGGATCATGTGGACAAAATAGAGGGAATGGTGGCTAATTTACTTGCAAATGAAATCTTCCGACGAGATTTAGTCTAACTATAGTGCAAAGGATGCATGGGAAATTTTAGAGGACAGCGACAACT